CGGCTCTCTGCTCCTATGATGCTGCTTGGCCTGCTGTGTTCATCCAGCCCTGCACCTTGTTGTCTCGGATTCTCCAGCATCTGCAGTTCCTACTATCTCTGATACAAATTGTGAGGTTTGTAGACACAGAGTCCATAGAGGTATATAGACAGATTAAGTGAATAGGCAAAAAATTGGTAGATGGAATATAATGCAGGACAATGTGACATAATGCATTTTGACAGGAAGAAGAGGAGAGTTGAACAGTATTTAAAAAGGGAAAGATTACAGAATGCTGCAGGGCAGGGGGAGTTGGGTGTCCTACTGCATGAATGACAAAAAGTTAGCATTAAGATCAGAAGGTGAAAGGGAAGGCAAATGGGCTACTGCCTTCATTTCAATGGGAATGGAATATAAAAATAGGCAGGTGTTGATAAAACTATACAAAGGACTCGTCAAACTACATCTGAAATACTGTGAACAGTTTTGGGTTTCTTATCTAAGGAAAGATATACTGACATTGAAGGTAGCCCAGAGAGGGTTCGCAGGTTGATTCTGGTTACATAGAGATTTTCTTATGAGATGTTGAGTATGTTGGGTTTGCACTAATTGGAGCTTAGAAGGAAGAGCAGTTATTGACACGTGTACAGGTTTTAGGGGCTTGACAGGTAAGATGCTGAGAGTTTATTTACCCTTGTGGGAGAGTCTAGGTCCAGAGGTTACAATTTCAGAGTAAGGGGTCACCCATTTCAGATAGAGATGAAGGTTTCTTTTTTTCTCTCAGAGGGTAGTGAATCTGTGGAATTCTTTACTGCAGAGGGCCATCAAGGCCACGTCATTGAGTATATTCAAGACAGAGATAGAGTACATTTGAGGAGTATTGAGGAGATTATTATTTTCAGATTATCAGATCAGATGTGATTTTGTTGAATGGTAGAACAGATTTGATGCACTGAGTGGCCTACTTCTGGTCCTATGTCTTATGGTCTAAAACCTGGAGAAATGGAGCTTACAGTTTAGTTTAAACTAATCATTTGGTGTTAATCCTGTGGTAACAGACGGTAGGGCACAAATCCCAATGAGCAAGGGAGTTAATGGCTGTGCAAAAAATGTTAGCTGAACTTTAATGCGATCACTTTGCATCTTCATTAAGAAATTCATTAAGCCTTTGTATAGTTTAGCACAATTGTAGAACTCCAACAGAACTGTAGGAGTGCTAATAAACACATTTTTGTGTGCAGAAAATATAGTTTAGAAATTACAGCTCATAATATTAGCATGCAGACCCAAAAGCTGGCATTAAACTAGTGAATGAAGCAATTTCAGAGAAATGCATTAAGCATTCCAAAAATTAGATTTCTGATGGTAGAACGGCACACAGTAATTTGGAGCACAGTGTGTTACATTGTGACAGGACAGAGTTCCCAGATGTTGAAATATCTTATTGTGTTGTAATGCTGACGAAAATGACTGAGGAACAAATAGATAGATGCAAATGCTAACAGTGCATATGTTTGGGTAGAGAATCCAATGTTTGTTCCCTCACTGAATCATTAAAGAATATCTTAAATTATTGGTGTTTAGTAAGCTGAAGAAGTGCCATATTTTATCCTCTATCAAATGTTTGGCGATGCTTCACCAGATTTGCGAGTGTAATTACTTTCTCTCCTATCAACAGGAAAATTAGGCATTTTGTGTCGATCAAGAAATTGTGCAGTGACAACAATAAACAGGTAAGATTTCTAATTGCTACTTTCTTCATTCTTTTCCACTGAAGGAATCAATTGAACTGCATGTGGACTTTAACAGTGCTGATGAAAGCCATCATAGACAGTAATGAAGTTCTGTAGCTGTGTTACAGTGTTACTGTGTTTTACAGGATTTAAAATTGCTGATATATTTCTTTATAGTTAGGTAGTTTTAACTGAGGTTTAAATAGTGAAACAATATTAAGCTCACATTCTCATCTTACTTAATTAATGTTGTCCCTGTTGAAGCTGTTGCAGTCACTGTTGAATTTCTAAGCAATTAGCTTTAACTGGAGTTTCACCCATGCAATGCTCCATTATACTCACTTGGCTCCACACTCATAATCATTGTGAAGCTCTGCCATTGTGAATCCTGCTTTGTAATTGGATTTCTGTGAAATGTACCTTCTTCATATTTCTGAGGCAGTGTGAAAGGTTGACAGGATGCGAGAAGAGAGAGCACCGGGGCTAGCAGGAAGATTGACAGCCAATTTAAGTCTTCTGTTCTTGGGAGTCCTAATTCTATTTTTTTAACTTCTAATCAATTTTCTCTGTTAATTATCATTCCCTCCCCTCCTCTCCCTAAGTTTATCAATGGAATTTGTTGCCACCGATTTGTCACACAAAGTGAACATCCAGGAGAGATCACATGTCAGACATTTCAAGGCTGAAATGTTGTGGGTGCAGGCTAGCAGTAGGGGCAGCTCATAAAATTGGGTCCCGTAGTGGCTGTTGTCTACCCATGTCTGCTGGCATTTGATTAATGGTCATTTAATCTACCCGATCTATGCCCTTCACAATTTTATATATCTTAATTATGCCCCTTCTCAATCTCCTCTGCTCTAAGGAAAACAACTCCAGTCTGTCCAGTCTCTCTTCATAATTGAACGTCTCCAGCCTAGGCAATATCCTGGTAAACCTCCTCTGCACCCTCTCCAATGTTATCATATCCCTCCTTTAATGTGGATCCCATAACTGCACGCAATACTTTAGCTGTGGTCTAACCACGTTTTATACAGTTCTAGCATAACCTCCATGTTCTCAAACTCTATGCCTAGGCTAATAAAGGTAGGTATTCCATATGCCTTCTTAACCACTTTATCCACCTGTTCCAATACTTTAAGGGACTGGTGTACATTCACACCAAGTCCCACTGATCCTCTTTCCCAGGTACTTCCCAGGGTCCTACCATTCATTGTGTATTTCCATGCCTTGTTTGACCTACCCAAGTACATCACCTCACATTTATCCAGATTGAACTGAATTTGCCACTGATCAGCCCATCTAACCAGCCTGTCTATATCCTCCTGTAATTTAAACCTGTCTCCCTCACTATTTATCACCCCTGTGAACTTACTGATCCACACACATATTACCACTGTGGTCCTTAATGGGCCCTTCTCCTTCTTAATTATTCTTATACTTTTTAATGTACCTCTAAATCAGCTTAGGATTTCCCATTATTTTGCCTGATAGTATATTTTCATGTCTCCTTTCAGATTGCCTAATTTCCTTTTACAAGAATCTTTTAGCTAGACTGGAATGATGAATATCCTAATCCATATAGATCACGTTGGGCTTGAAGGAATCCACACGTACTTACTGTAGATTTGAATCCTATTCCTTGGTGGGCACTGATACAAAGTATTCATTTATTGCCTCAGCTGTGCTTCTGCCTTCACCTTGTACTAGGATAGGAACACTTAATGCATATATATGAAATTTTTTCAGTCAGTACTTTAACTGTTAAAATAGATGACAAAGGAATTCCATTTAAGCATTAGTTATTTATTTACTGATTTGTGTAACTCTCCTTGCCGTGTAAAACTCACACCTGAACCTACCCTAGTTTCCTACAGTTGGCATTTTAGACATTGTCGACAAATTGTCAACTTGTCTTTAGAATATGTCAAAAGCAGTCTGAAGCTGTGATCAGTGAGTCTGGTTTTACAGAAATGCTGTTTTTAAGTCTTTAAACCTCCATCTTATTTGTGGTATTAATTTATTTCATTTATTTAACCTAAATTAGATTTACAATATGCACAGTGAGGACAAATATATGGAAGAAAATTCTCAATCAGGTAAGATAAATCAAACTTTTCTTTATTTTTCTCAATGTCGGTACATGGTCAGTTCAGGGCTCACAGCTTTGCTGTGGAACCAGATAGTGATTTGGTTTCATTCTAACATCCTTTATTTTTGTGTGCAAGGTTTCGCCATATAGATTTCCCAACTGGACATCAGGCCAGCCTTGGCTTCGAGTTGGGTTAGGAAGCTCACCTTTGTTGCTACTGGGATCCTGACCCCAGCTAGGGGAGGGAGCCTTAGTGTGGTCCAATCCCAGGAGTTAGAGTGGAGAAAGGGGGCGGCGTCCAATCTTTGGCCGTAGGGTGGGGACATGTCACCGCATTCCATCTGGTGCAGGTCTTTGTATGTGGAGGGATTTCTGATAGATTGGGGTGCGACCTTGGAGAACTGATAGAAATTTACTGAAAGTTGTCAGTTTAAACATGAATGATTCTCCCTATTTAGGGAGCCATGCAAAACCTTGCTGGCTTCAAAGAAAGAATTCTACAAGAGCTTGATATTTTACTCAAGGTGAACTTACCTGCAAAATTAATTAGTTGTGCAATAAGATTTCCATCAATTAAAATGTATTGAAAATTGCAATACATTGCATACTGATGTATGCTAATAAGCAGAAGTCAGATGTTAACACATACATTAATCTGAATTTGAAAAAAAAGACACAAAGGAGAGCAAGTTCTTTAGTAGCTCACAACGTCTGGACAGAGAGAAAAGTTCATAATTACTTTAACCCATGTGATCATTATCAATTACAATAATCAAAAGTAGCATTGGTTAAAATAAAAACACTTTTCTATTAAGGAAGCCACATCAATCATAGCCACTTGTAAGAAACAGAGACAGACTTTCAGTGTGAAACTATGCAGCAATTGAAGACACAAAATGATGTAGAAGCTTGGAAATTCCTTTCACAAACAGCAACTAAAGTAGGTCAATACGTTGGGTTTTGTTATCAAGAGCTATTCAAGAGATATGAGGCAAAGGCAGGCATATGGAGTTAAGTTATAGAAATGCCATGATCTCCCCAAAAGTGGAACAGGCTGAGTGGCCTACTGCTATTCCTATAAGATCACCTGGATCACCATCAGGTTACTGCTTTGCTCCTGCTATTCTGCACCCCGACATTGCTCTGCATTTCTGGCCAGGTCTTCTGATTCCAGCCGCTTCCTGAGTAGTAATCCAATGATGCAATGTAGCAGAGTAGTGTCAGAGGGAAAACAAGCCTTACCCACTTTTTACAGCATTAGCTGCTGTAAGGCAATTTTAATCATTCAGTGTGAACGTTAATGAATGGATGAATGATTGAATGGCTAGGGTGGGTGAAGCAGGTTCAGGTTGGTAGAGTGGAACAACAGCAGGTGACTGAATTGCAAGTGGGTGATAGGGTGGAGGAATAGTGCGTGGGTAGGTGGATCACAGCTTTGTAACATCAGGCTAGGAGCAGCTGCAGTGAGGTGCTAGTCAAGTTGTTTGGAGGATCGGGGTAACTGGGCAAGCTGAGCTTTGAACTATCTCACAGTTAGGACATTTTACACCAAAGAGTAGCTAGGATTAAATGTTACTGCAGATGGATTCAGAGAATAGAATCATAGAATCATAGAATCCCCACAGTGTGGAAACAGGCCCTTCGGCCCAACAGGTCCACACCAACCCTCAGAACACCCACCCAAACCCATCCCCCTAGAACTCATCTAATCTACACATCCATGAACACTACGGGCAATTTAGCATGGTCAATCCACCTAACCTGCACATCTTTGGACTGTGGGAGGAAACAGGAGCACCCGGAGGAAACCCATGCAGACACGGGGAGAATGTGCAAACTCCACACAGACAGTCGCCCGAGGCTGGAATTGAACCCGGGTCCCTGTAATAACTTTGTAAACGTGTAAGCCATGATATATTTCAAATACATTATTTATTATTTAGTGCTGTGTATTTCTCCAGTTGTCAGAAAAGGACACAGCCCACTCCATTGCATAGTCATTTTAAGGTTAAAAATATCACATTTCACTCTGAGTAAATTGATATAATCACTTCAAATTTCACATCCAATCTATCGTCTTCTGTATGCTAACCCTGGGCTATTACAGACCCATCTGTTGTGACACTTGCTTGTTGGCTGAAAGGGAAAATCCAAATGGCTGTCATAATTTTCTTACTTCACAGATTCACAGTCATTGAGACATAAAGATAGACGGAAAGGTTCCATCGACGTCAGATCAATAACATCAAGAAGAAGTGATGGTATGAATACATTCTTACAATTTTTACCTGGCTACATTTGCTGTAAAAGTGAGAATTATGGCTCTCATCACTACTTATACATGAAAAGTTCAGCAAATTCAGGTGAAGAATGGCAGATTCGCACTCAACTGCTAAAATCCAAATGTTGTAGTTCAAGTTATGCAGTTTTGCTGTGAAACTGGCCTTTCAGTGTCTGTTTAAGGCAGGGATGAGGAGGAATTTCTTTGCTGTAGAAAGCTGAAGAAGCTAGGCTTTTGAGTATTTTCAAGATTGAGATAGATTTTAAGTCAGTAACGAACTCAAGGGTTATGGGGAAAAGGCAAGAAAATGGATTATTACAACTGCCATGATCTCATTGCAAACTGGAGCAGATTTGATGGACCAAATGATTTATTTTTGCTCCGATGTCTTGTGCTCATATCTTTGAAATGTATTGATTTGAGATTGCTGTATTTGTGGGATTGATGCAAACTTATCACAGAAAGCTAATGTCTTGCCATTTCATGCCTAAGAACTATTTTAACAATATGGTAGGTGTTAAGCACTGTCAAACGCATTTACTAAAAATTAACGAGCATGGATTCTCATTACTTTACAATTTAATTGTTGTTTGAGGTTTTAAAAGTATAAAATATTATTGGTTGCTTTTTTATTTCGCTCCCAAATAATCCAATCTTCCTGCTCTCTCTATCTTTTCACTTTATGTTCCTAATTTGATATTGAATTTTAAATTACATGTCCTTCTCAGTCTGACTGCCATTTATTTCATAACACTTCAGTCCAATTGTTTAAGGAACTAGATAGTTGTCTTGTTTCCTCACTGCAATGTTACCATCTCACACTTACAGCAAGTTGCCTTGTAACAATGTATAAAGTTTATACATTGCCAGGTCAGGGCTATCTAACAACAGTTACGGTTATCGGCCCTGTTAGAGCAAATTATGCGCTGTTGCATTTTCACTTCAGTAAATAAAATCAAAAATTTGCTGCAAATTATTTTCACAGAAGACAACCTTTATGATAAATGCTGATCTCATATTTGTATTGAAGATTTGAGTTATTGGAGGGATTTGTACTATTTTGTTGGTTTTATTGATTTCTGGATTGAAGCTCTAATCATCACATAACCTTATACCACAAAGTGCCTGCAATAGACATTAAACACCCTGGGCATGTTAACTGTGTGACACATCTGAGAGCCCTTTCTTTGATATTCATGTCATCAGGGAGTTCATACAATCGACGGCATTCCTCAATGGCAAGAATTCATTCCATGACAATTGAAGCTCCAATCACCAAGGTAAATTGAAAAGCATTTTTTAAATATAAAGTTAACATTTCCATCCTGTGAACTGTTGGATATTTTTCATATCTTTAAAATTTAGCAGATAGGTCTGAACAGTGTAGACCAAACCTTACAGGGGTCTGAGTGAAGTGGGCTATGGTGAGATGTGTGGCAGAATTGGGCAACAAACGCGACGAGGCCTGTCTCCACATCTAGATCATCTCACTCCACCTTTTATCATTTTCACAAGCAGGGCAAGATTATTGAGAGCCAATAGCAAAATGCCAATAGATGATTATTATTGATTTTTAAACACCTAGTTAAGTTGCAACGTGCCTCATTAATATTCAGACTCCCATCTTACCAAACTCGCCAAACAAGTGAGACATAGGGAAACCAAATGGTGTACATGGCAGATTCAACTCACTGCTTACTCCAAACCACCTCCATATTGGTAACTGGCCATCACAGGGCATGAACCCCATGCACCAGCTGAATGCATTCCTCCTCTGTGGATATTTGCAGCTGTCATTTGCCAAGCCAACATAAACATCCTGGCCTATCTACTATCCCCTCAGAGTGCACTCTGGAAGGATGCACCTGATTGCTGTCTTAGCGCTCATTAACTTAGTGCCCAACTGCTTGCTCACAGCCTCCCTTCGGTTAACACAATTAACACAGTAGGAAGGTCATCTCCTGCCTGGAGCTGAGCAGGTGCCTGGTCTTCCAAGTGCCAGCGGGCCTAGGGTATTCATTCCTCAGCCAACTGTGTAGGTGTCATAGTGAGGTGCTCACCAGATTGTGAAGCAACTCTCTATGCCTAGGTTCCCATTGAGTTGTCTGTATCTGTGCTGATGGTGCAGGGGTGAAGAAGGCAGCCTTACAAATGCTTCCTCTGAGGCCTTAGTACGTACATCCTCAGAGGGAGGGCAGTCCTTCTGCAGCTGGTCACTTCACTGCAGATGTATCAGGAGTCTTGTGGAACCTGCCAAACAAAGAGAGAGAAGACATTGCAGCCAGGGGTTCCAAGCAGTGTGCAGTGACCGAGAGGGATAGTAGAGGTTTATGGGAGAGTGGCAGTTGCGTGCAGAGAGGTACTTAATCATTTGGTGAGAACTGGATGTCTCGACATCCTTGCAGAAGTGGTTCCTATCTTCTCCTGTGAGGGCCAGGACTCCACTTGAAGGAGGTAAGGGCATAGATGTTGAGCACCTCGCCCCTCCTCTGCCAGTCCTCCAGCAAGTGGAACCCTCTCATTTGCACCACCCTGGTCACCAGAACCTCCAGGCCCCGATTAAAGAATCATGGTCCAATCTTCACCTTCTCTGCCATGTTCTGACTCTCCTCATGAATAAGCAGGGCCAGTGTTCATCTGGGTGCACTGCAGCATTTTAAATGTGCCCTACCTTTGGGCAGATTCTGCTGAGTGGCAAGTTGTTCAGAAAGGGCATGCGATAAATTGGGATGGAAGTCAGATCTGAGAGATGTCATTGGCTGTGGTAGGCATTTAGTGAGGCAGGTTTGATGAGGACCCACTACGGCGCTTGATGAAAAATTTTTGAGAAACCTCGTTGCAACTTGGACTTCATCAAAAAAAGTAAGTTTCAGCTGATAGATTCTAATATAATAACCATCTCTGAATTGCTTTGAAGTTCTCAATCACATAGTCATATATTGTATCATTTAAATAGCACAAATAAATATTGTGTTGACTAGAGCTAAGTGTAAACTTATGTTTAGTAATTTAATGCATTTCATGCTTAGCATGTTTTCCATAAAAAGAAAGAAGATGAGTACAACTGGTTCCAAGAACAGGACACCCAATTTTCAAAAAATGAGACCAAAGTTATTCAAGATGTCGATGTAATAATAGGAATACCCATGGCCAAAAACAATAGATGGCTCAGCAATGAAGGCACCCTGCATCTCAGTTCTGTTTCTAAAGTCCCTGTTAAAATTAAAACAACGGTGTATTGCGATGCCTGATCTCCACAGGGTCATAAGCAGAGTCGCTATGCTTAGTCTCACAGGTTTATGTCCTGCCCACCATTTTTAAAACCCACCCAATGCATTTGAACTCTTGTGCTGGGATGAGGAGACCTGACCCTTGGAGTCAAGGCATGGGGCTGGATGGTGGTGGTGGTTGGGGGGGGGGTGGGGGTCAGCGCTGGTGAACAAATAGACGGATCAAGGTTGCTCAACAACCTAATTTCCTGTCCATAGGCATTTTCATCCTTTGTCATTTATCCAAAGCCTCAACACACATTGAACAGATACAATCGTGGACATAGCAGAGCAATGCCGCAGAATAATTTGACATGATAAAGAGAGTAGTGGCTCAAAGGATTAAGTAAACATATTGGCTGCCAGGTGAAATATATAGCTTTACCATCGCATTGACATTAGGGAGTAGATTAGATCATTTGGTAAAAATACTCTGCAATGTTTATCCTTGGTTCAAAGAAAAACACCTTCAATGTACATCCACATTATTAATTTTAGATGCAACAAAGACTTCTTGAAAAAGTAATATTTTTCCTTCTTTTCCATTTTCACAGGTCATCAATATAATTAATGCTGCCCAAGAGAACAGTCCAGTAACAGTTGCTGAGGCCTTGGACAGAGTTCTGGAAATATTGCGAACAACTGAGCTCTACTCACCACAGCTTGGCACTAAAGATGATGATCCTCACACTAATAATCTTGTTGGAGGGCTCATGACTGTGAGTTAGTAAGGAACAACTTTCAGACTTGTACAATTTATACATTATTGTACTGACCATTGGAGTACAGACTTCAGAGTCAAGCCATCAGATGTACCACACCATTTGATAAAACCGTAAAGTGTTGACTTCTCTAGCCCTGGATTAGAAACAAAGAAAATCAGGCAGAAATTCTTATTCTTATTTGTTCTTCAATAATCCAAAAAAGAAAGTTTTGCGAGAAATGTATGAAAATTACAAGCAGAAAAATGGCCCAGCAAGCCTCCCATACTCATGGTGCTTAAACATTAAGATTAGATCCTTCACAACATCCTGAGATCACCTCCAGGAGATGCCAAAGAAATTAAGAAAACACACAGTCAATATGGGAATGAAGATTTCCCTCTGCTTTGTAATCAAAGCCAGTCCTGCATATTGCATCGTTTATTTGTGGGTATTAAGTGTGACCAGGATTAACTTAGGCCACAGTGCCCCACAGCTGAATATTTTTAATCGTTCCACATCACCAGGCCTCACACATGAAGAACCAGCATTTGGGTGGAACTACACCTAAGCATTAGTTCTCAGCTCTACAAGGAAAGGGGTTATGGGGCATAGGGCAGGTTTTTCTAGTTTCCTTACAAGTGAGGAGTAATTTCTCAACAACTCATTTTCAGTGCAGAACCTACTGCAGGAAGTATAATTTGGAAATATGCTGGGGTTTGCTTTCTTGAAGCACAGCTTCAGAGAATTATCCACATGGGCCATATGTAATAACATCTGTAGAGAATGACCACCTTGTGACTGATTTATTGGCTGTGACTGAGTTTAAGTGGTTTCATTTGGCAGCTTCACCTTTTGAAGCAGTAAAGTCAAGTCGTGGATGATGGGGAGAAACCCAGGCCAAGAGAAGCCCTAGCTCTCTTTACACTTGCCCTACTGGCAAAGGAAATTTAAAATGTATTTATAAACTTAGCTTGCTGGGTTTCTCATGGCCATGATTTAAATTCTGTCAAGTTTGTCCTGATGGGAAAGCAATTTCTGTTACCCTTCTTAAATCCATTCATGGGACCAGTGCATTGCCAGGATGGCCAGTATTTATTGGCCATCCCTAAATACCCTAAATCCCTGCAGACCATGTGGTGTAGGTACACCCACAGTGTTGTTAAACAGAGATCTAACATTTTAACCCAGTGACTGTAAAAGAACGTTGACATGTTTCCAAGCCAGGATGTTGTAGAAATTGGAGGGAACTTGCATGTGGTGATGTTCCTATGTATCTTCTACCCTCATCCTTATGGGTGGTACCACTGAAGCCATACCTACATGTTTATGAAAAGGAATTCCATCATCTTCAGGCGATGAACCAGCTTCCCCAATTTTAATTTTGAAGGCAGTCAGGGCAGAGATGGAGAGCAGTTAACAGGTGACCTTGATAAAGTTGCCAAGTCAATGATATTGCCACACATTCAGACAGAGGAGAGGGGTGTGTCTCACTCATTTTGCTGCAGCAGTTTACAGATGCAGTTGTTACTGCTCCCAATCTACCGAACGAATCCCACCAATTGAGCCCTGGATAGGACCAGCTAAGTAGCATAGACTCAGTCCATGCCTTGTGTAAGTCCCATCAACATGGAATGGAATTGATTACAGAAAAAAAATCAATCTTCGTTCCAAACTAGGACTACTGGATTGGGGAAGAATTCAGAAAAATTAGGTTCATCTTTATTCTGGCCGATCTAGCTCAGGATTTTCCCCTTAGAATCGTGACAGTTGTCAGAGGGTCAACGTTAGGCTAAAACAGCCATCTTTGTTCACTTCTGCTGTCACAATCATCCCAAGGACTTTTTTTCTTCAAATAACTAAAATTTTAGAATCTTCAATCTTAACATAAGACTCTTCAGTACTTCCAAATGTATCTTTTCAAACAGTTGCCAATTATGGTTCAAGGAATAAAAAGGACAGTAGCAACATGAACACAAAATTGGCTGTGAGATAGGAAACAGAGAGTAATAATTAATTGTTTTCTTTTTTGGTCTGGACAAAAGTATGTAGTGAAGTTTCTTGCAGTCAATATTGGGACCCTTACTTATCCTTATATATGTAAATGATCTAGATCTTGATGTGTAGCAGACAATTTTAAAGTTTGTGGATGATACAAAATATGGAAGAATTGTAAACTGTGAGGACAGTATAGAATTTCAAAATGGCATTGACTCACTGGTACATTGGGCAGAAAGATGGTAGATGATGCTCAATGTGAATATGTGTGAGGTAATGCATTTTGATACAAAGAACATGAAGAGACAATACAAAATCCTGTTTTAGAGGGCATGCAGGAGTAGAGAGACCTGGGTGTATATGTACGTAAGTAGTTAAAGATGGCAAATGGGTAGAGATGGCTATTCATAAAATACACAGTATTCTAGGCTTGATAATTAGGACATAGTATACCAGAGCAGGGAGGTTATATTTAAACTTACATAAGATATTGGTTAGACCTCAGCTGGAGTATTGTGCACAGTGGATATATTGGAGAGAATGCAGAAGAGTTTGACAGAAACGGTTCCAGGAATAAGATGCTTCAGTTATGAGGAAAGATTGGAGAAGTTCAAATAATTTCAATAGGAGAGAAGGCTGAAAGGTGAGTTTTCAATAATATGAGGGGTCTTACAGAGTGGATAGGGAGAAATTGTCCCCATTCATAAAAGGATTGAGAATGAGAGGGCACAGTTATAAAGTGCTTTGGAAAGGTAGCAAAAGCGTTGTGTGCAAAACACCGGTCTGGCTTTGGAATGAACTGGCTAAACCTAATGGATGCAGGTTCAGTTAAGGCATTCAAGAAGGTATTGGATGATTATACAAATAGAAAAAATGTGCAGAGTTTTGGGGTAAAGGCAGGAGATTAACACAAAGTTAAAATGTTTATAGAGCCAGTTGGGTTGAATGACCTCCTTCTGCAGTCTAACATTTCTATGGAATTTGTGTTAACCTTGATATTATTTTTAAGGTTTGTCAGTCACAGTAATTAATTATTGAAGTCTATTTGATGCTGAATGTTAAGAATCAGTTATTGATACACAAGTTAAGACTGTTCATTTGATGTTTCAGGATGGATTAAGAAGATTGTCCAGCAACGAATACATTTTCTCTAAAAGTAAGTCTGACTTACATTTGTGTTTTTTGGTTTGCCACAATATTGGAATGTAAAAGTACAGCAATTGTAGAAGTATGATGATCTATCTTTGGTTACTTACTTTCTTCCAAATTTTCCAGCCATGCATTGATACCATCAGAATATATTAAAACATTCTTATGGAATAAATATTCATTTTTTTCAGTTGGTAGCTCATTCCTCTGCTCCCCTGAGAGAATTGCTATGACCCATCATGTTATTTACTCGGATGTGAAGTTCCTGGTCTGCAAATTTTACAAACTTTGAGCTCCATTTCCATTTCACATCGAAATGGTGCACTCCATATCTGGAACCGATAACGGTGTGCTACCTATACTGTTTTAGCAACTGCATGGTTATTTATGCAGGAACTTTGAAGGTGCATTCGAAAATTTGGACAAGAGCGTGGTATTCTTAACACACACTCACATACTGAATCCCAGAAACTGTAAAGGACATTAGGTTGCCATTTGAATTAAATAAAGAGAAAACTATAACTCCATTGAATGTATTTACTGTGTGCTTTGAGTTGTTGCTTTGTTAACTCCTTTGAAAAAGTTGCTAGTATGTGGTTGATTTAGAGGGAACTAATTCTCCAGATTTATTTAAATGTAGTTGATCAAATGTATCGAGTTTGATGTCCTGCCTCCAAGATTTGCTGACCAATCAAAAGGCTGACAGATCTCTGGTCCCTGCAACTAGGCCTCACAATAAGCCTGCTTCTCTCTGGGGCCAGGCTGATCCCCTGCTGTGCCTTGCCTGACTCCACACTGATTTTTTTTATTCATCCGTGGGACATGGGCATTGCTTGTCTCTAGTTTCCCTTGAGAAGGTGGTGAACTGCCTTCTTGAACCACTGCAGTCCACATGCTGTAGGTTTACCCACAATGCCCTTAGGGAGGGAATTCCAGGATTTTGACTCAGCGACAGTGAAGGAACAGTGATATATTTCCTGGTCAGAATCGTGAATGGCTTGGAAGGGAACTTGAAAGTTCTGGTGTTCCCGTGAATCTACTGCCCTTATCCTTCTAGATGGAAGCGGTCATGGGTTTGGAAGGTGCCGTCAAAGGATCTTCGGTGAATTTCTGCACTACATCTTGTAGATAGTACATGCTGCCTACTATTGAGTATCGATGGTGGAGGGAGTAGATGCTTGTAGATGTGGTGCCAATCAAGCAGGCTGCTTTGTTCTGGATGGTGTCAAGTTTCTTGAGTGTTGTTAGAGCTGCACTCATCCAAGCAAGTGGGGAGTATTACATCACATTTCAGATTTGTGCCTTGTAGATAGTGGACAGGCTTTGGGGTGTCAGGAGGTGAGTTACACACCGCAGTATTCCTAGCCTTTGACCTGCTCTGGTGCCCACTACGTTTGGTGAGTCTAGTTGAGTTTCTGGTCAATGGTTTCTGGCCAGGGATGTTGATAATGGGGGATTCAGTGATGGTGATACCATTGAATGTCAAGGGGCAGTAGTTATATTGTCTCTCATTGGAAATGATCATAGCCTGGCATTTTGTGGTGTGAATACTACTTAGCACATATCAGCTGAAGCCTGGATTTTGTCCAGATCTTTTTGCATTTGAACATGGACTACTTCAGTATCTGAGGAGTCACGAATGGTGCTGAACGTTTTGAAAATATCCCATCACTGACCTTATGATGGAGGGAGGGTCAGCTATGAAGCGGCTGAAGATGGTTGGGCCTAGGACACTACCCTGAGGAACTCCTGCACAGACGTCCTGGAGCTGAGATGACTGACCTCCAACAGCCACAGCTATCTTCCCACGTACCAGGTATGACTCCAACCAGCAGAGAGTTTGTCCCTGATACCCATTGATTCCAATTTTGCTTGGGGTCCCTGATGCCACACTCAGTTAAATTTGGCCTTGATGTCAAGGGCTGTCACTCTCACCTCACCCCTGGAATTCAGCTCTTTTATCCATGTTTGAACCAAGGCTGTAATGAAGTCAGGAGCTGAGTGGCCCCGGCAGAACCCAAACTGAGTATCACTGAGCAGGTTATTGCTGAGCAGATGCTGCTTCATAGCACTGATGGTGACACCTCCCATCACTTTACCGATGATCGGGAGTAGACTGGTGGGCGAGTAATTGGCTGGATTGGATTTGTTCTGCTTCCTGTGTACAGGACAAACCTGGACAATTTTCCACATTATCGGGTAGATGTTGTAACTGTGCTGGAATAGCTTAGTTAGGGGAGCAGCAAGTTCTGGAGCACAAGTCTTCAGTACTATTGCTGGAATATTGTCAGGGCCCGTTGCCTTTACAGTATCCAGTGTCTCCAACCATTTCCTGACATCATGTGGAGTGAATCAAATTGGCTGAAGACTAGTATCTATAATGCAGGGGACATCTGGAGGAGCCCGAAATAGATCATCCACTTTGCACTTCTGGCTGAAGATTGCTGCGAACGCTTCAGCCTTATCTTTTGCACTGATGTGCTGGGCTCTTCCATCATTGATGATGAGGATATTTGTGGAGCCTCCTCCGCCAGTGAGCTGTTTAATCGTCCGCCACCATTCATGACTAGATGTGGCAAGACTGCAGAGCTTAGATTTGATCCGTTGGTTGTGGAATTGCTGTCTATCATTCGTTGCTCCTGTCGTTTGGCGTGCAAGAGATTCTGTTTGGTGGCTTCACTAGGTTAACACTTCATTTTCAGGTTTGCCTGGCATGCCCTCCTGCTCTCTCTATTGCAGCAGGGTTGATCCCCTGGCTTGATGGTAATGGTTGAGTGGGGGATATGCCGGGCTATGAGGTTACAGATTGTGCTGGAGTACAATTCTGCTGCTGTTGATGACCCACAAATTCTCATCGATGCCCAGTCTTGAGTTGCTGGATCTGTTCGAAGTCTGTTCCATTTAGCATGGTGATAGTGCCACACAACACGATGGAAGTTATTCTCAATGTGAAGATGGGACTTCATCTCCACAAGGACTGTGCAATGGTCACTCTACCAATACTGCCATGGACAGATACAGCTGGCAGATTGGTAAGGATAAGGTCAAGTATGTTTTTCCCTCTTGTTGGTTCCCTCACCACCTGCCACAGACCCAGTCTAGCAGCTATGTCCTATAGGACCTGACCAGCTCGATCAGTGGTACTGCTGCCGAGCCACTCTTGGTGGTGGGCATTGAAATCCCCCAACCAGAGTACAAATTGAGCCCTTGCCACTCTCAGTGCTTCGTCCAAATATTGTTCAACATGGAGGAGTATCGATTCATCAGCTGAGGGAGGACAGTACTTGGTAATCACCAGGAGGTTTCCTTGCCTACATTTAATATGAAGCCATGAGACTTCATGGGGTCCGGAGTCAATGTTGAGGACTCCCAGGGCAACTCCCTACTGACTGTATACTGTTGTGCCGTCTCCTCTGCTGGGTCTGTGCTGCTGGTGGGACAGGACAGATCCAGGGATGGTGATGGTGGTATCTGGGACATTGTCTGTAAGGTATGATTCTGTGAGTATGACTATGTCACGCTGTTGCTTAGCTAGCTCTCCCAATTTTGGCACTAGCCTAGGTTGATGCCAGGTGGTCCATTTGGTTTCATTTCTTTGTTGAAAAGGACAGTTTCTGAAGGATCTCAATACGTGGGGCTGGCCTTCCCACGTCTGCTGCCATCAACTGGCCACTTAATGGCCTCAATTACCCAAGAGGCTTTTAGACGCCTGTTCTTCTAATAAACTTTAGCCGAGGCCGTGGGCATGTGGCATGTGCCTAGTTTTACAGCCCTAACCCATCCGGGTGGAGGGGGAAGGGGAGGGGAGCACGTGCAATTTAGTCAGCACGTGCAATTTAGTCAGTTGCTTTTACTTGGGATGTTCTTTGTTTGGAGAAATCATATTAACTATGCCTTCCTTAGTCAGCATTTGGGGCAGCAGTTGTTTTGGGATACTAAGACCCCAGTGTAATTCCCTGGGCGATATGCACAGAGATGTGAGGAGCCCTGACTCTGGAAATTGGACCATTAAAAAATGGCTGTCTGAATCATTTTCGATGTAGGGGCTGGGCTGGATTGGGATTTGGGGCAGGTAACCCACAGTGTTCAAAATTTGAAAATAATACATTAGACATCCCCCTAGAATTCACCCGTCATCACCCCCCTCCCCCCCCACCACCTTAACCAGCCACGCTGTCAATGACCTATCCATGTCAACCTATTCCCCTTTACACATCCCCATACACTTTATATCGCCTTTGCCAACACATGCCAACCTTTGCCCTCACCCATTCATCATATTTTGCCCTTTCACCTTTGATGCCAACTCAACTAGTATCCACCATGAGCAGACCTTATGACCTGTGCACAGATATGAAAAAATAAAATTCTCTCAAACAGTATAAGTGTATTGGAGGCTTTTCACTAAATTGAGAAAAAATCATAAAAACGCATTTCCACATTTAAATTCCTTCAGCTGAGTAAAGCCTTATAAGATAAACATTTTATTCAAGCAAAACAAGCTGTAGGATTCATGTACCCACATCAAAAACTCACAACCACTTGTCAGTTAAACTGTCAAATGGAAGGCACTCACTGTGATAATGGGTCCTTTTGCAATAATATTTTAACACGTTACTTTTCTTTCCAAGACTGAAAAGGTTGCTTTAGTTTAAAATGCCTCTTGATAAATCCCTTTGAAAGCTTTAAGAACGTAAGAAATAGTAGCAGGAGCAGGCCATTCATCCCCTCAAGCCTATCCTACCATTCCAAAAATCATGACTGATTTACCCCATACCTCAATCCCTCTTCCATACCAGCTACTCTAAGCTCTCAACTCCTTGATTTGTTAAAATAAATTTATAGAACCATAGAACTTTAGAAATGATACAGTACAGAAGGGGCCATTCAGCCCAAATTGGCAATGCTGACCCAAAGATACCCAGGTGCCCTTTTTAATCCCTTCTGCTTGCACACGGCCTTGGCTCTGCAGCTTACAGCACTTAAGATTCAGATCCAGACACATTTTAACAGAGTTTAGGGTCTCGGCCTCTGCCGTCAACTCAGGCAGCAAGTTCCAGACACCCACTACCCCCTGCATAAAAAAGTTTTTCCTCACATCCCCAGTAATCCTCTGCTTGAATCTATGACCCTGGTCTTTGAACTCTCTACCAAGGGAAACAGGTTCCTCCTGTTTACCCAATGTCTACCTCTCACAATTTTGTGTACCTCAATCATGCCACCTCTCAGCCTTCTTTGTTCCAAGGAAAACAACCCCGATCTCTCCTTATACCTATAGCTACAATTCTCCACACCTTGCAACATTCTGGCAAATCTACCTGCTCAGTAAATACTTACAGTGATCTAGTCTCCACAACTGTCTGGCGTAGAGATAACACAGTGTAGAGCTGGAGGAACACAGGCCAGGCAGCATCAGAGGAGCAGGAAAGTTGACATTTTGGGTTGGGAAGGGTCCCAATCCGAAACATCAACTTTCCAGTTCCTCTGATGCTCCCTGGCCTGTGTTCCTCCAGCTCCACACTGTGTTAACCCTGACTCCAGCATCTGCAGTTCTTATTATCTCTGGGTTAGAAAGTTCCAGAGAATCACTATCCTCAGACAGGAAATTCCTTCGCATCTCAAGTTTTAAATCGTGTCCCCTTTTTCTGTAACCACATCCCTTAGTTTTGAGGTATATCCCTTGGTTTAAGATTCTCCCACTAAGTGGATCTTCTCAGCTTTTACTCTGTCAAGCTCCCTCAGAATTTTGTATGATTCAGTAAGATCACGTTCATTCTTCTGAACTCTATTGAATACAGGCCTAACCTATTTAGCCAGTCTAGATACAGGTACCCAACCTTTCCCAAAGAGGTAACTTACTTCTCCCAAAGGATGCCTTACCTGAGATTGCCTTATGTCCTCCAAAGGTGTCCGAGCACCAGGTGAAAAAGGGTACCTCGGTCTCTCTTAAAGGGTGCCCTGGTTATCCAAATGAATTTACAAGATTCAGACCAGCTCTTATCTGACCTAATCTTCAACTTTCCAGTTCAGGCACTAACTCCACCAAAATTATACCAGAGAGGAGGTGACTGATGATTTAAACAGCCAACTACCTCCATAAAACATGCTTTGCATAAATCCCAAGCCAACTCAGTTTCTGCCCCCAGGTGCAGTATTCAGGGATGGGATTTTTAATTTCCAATCACCGCCATTGCATTCAGAGGCTCCCCATTCTGCTGAAAATCTGGACAAGGTGCCACAGTGGCTAGCACTGCTGCCTCACAGTGCCTCAGACCTGGGTTGTATTCTAACCTTCGGTGACTGTCTGGGTGGAGTTTACACATTCCCCGTGTCTGCATGGATTTCCTCCAGGTGCTCTAGTTTCTTCCCACAATCCAAAGATGTATGGGTTAGGTGGATTGGCCATGCTAAATGCAGGTATATGGGGATGGGGGCGGGTTGATTTGGGTGGGATCTTCTTCGTAGTGTCAGTGAGGACTTGATGGGCCGAATGGCCTCTGTCTGCACTGTAGGTTTTCCTTTACGATCAATAATTTTGAAAAGAAATTATTAAAATTATTAAAAGAAGTCTGGTTGATGGATCTTTTTGTTCCAAGTCTAATATAGAGAAAGCATATAACTGGCCACATCAGGAACAAGGTAAAACAACTAATGTTGTGACCCATGGAGTAATACAACTGGAGAAAGACGGTGCACTACTCCCATCTCAGTCATATCACTGGCGCCACAAAATAGTCTTCTCCAACAGATTTTGTAAACATAATAAACAACTTAGATAATGAATGACAGTGAGTAATGCAGTGAGCTTGTACATGTGATTATATTCCCCTGTTTTTGTTGTATTAAATAGCTTACCGTCAGACCGAGAAGTCAGAGGTGCCATTATGGACGTCTCTTGATGGACAGATTGAAGAAGAACCAGGTACCTTACAAAGATGTTTCACTGACAAGATTTCCAAATTTTTTTTTAGTTAATTTCTAGCAGTTGCCTTTATTTTTTTTCCCCCTTTTCAGTCTTCCAATCCAGTGCACTATTAACTGAATAGGCAACATTGCATCTAAGTATGTCAGTAGCAGGTGTGCGAGAATAGTTTGGGTTCAGAATGTCCCCTCCCTGGTAGAGAAATACCTTCCTCTCACTCAGCTTTCACCCTGCCAGCCAAGCCCAGGATCTGACTATCAACATGTGAGAAGTTGTTAGCACTCACCTATCACTAAGCATTTTAATGCATTAGTAAATTATTAAGACATAGAGCTTGAATGTTTTGCTAAGAATGAAGAGACTATATACAGTCTCCACCACTAACACTATCCAAATCACTGCTGAAGTCAAGCAAAAGGACTAGCCATCACTGCTGCCATAACAACTTTCATTTATATAGCCCTTGACTGATAAAGTGGGCAAAGATGCATCATAGGAAGATCATAAGCAGGAGTTGACACCAAACCAGATGAGATATTAGGACAGATGTTAAATTTTATACAGAGTTTAAAATCAAAACATTGATCAAACGGGATCAATGTAGGTCATTGAGCACAGGAGTGAATCCAGAACTAACAAAGGCATTTGTGAGGGTTTTTACATCAGATTAGCAGTATCTCATGTTGTTACAAAGGTGGAAGTAGGCAGTCTTAGTGACTACCATAGGTCTCAATTAAAAAGCACTACTTACATTAAGCACACAAAATTTTTCAGATAGTTTACTAAGTACTCACCCATTTAAATAGTCCAGCTGACTTCAGGCTATATTAGATATTCAAACAGTTTCAATCAGCTGTCCAGAGTTCATTAAATGCAATTAATTCAATATTGATATTCGAGATGCAATTTCTAATAGTTAGAAGTGCTAATTGTTAAATGAAATTCCATGTACATTTTATAAACATTGTTGGTAACTTGCCTTTCATGGTTTTATAAAGCACTGTACAAAGTGAGTATAATCACATGAGGACAAACATATCCACTATAAACAGTGAAGAATGTCCTGTTGATTGAAAATGTGCAGGGTGCTGGTAGTCTGGAAATTCCCTGTATCTTTTCGCTTAAAAATGATTCCAGAAAGACTCTAAATGAGGGCCAAATTGCCCGTGTACTACAAATATCTGTGGCTGGAAAATTCTTTAGGGCTTGCTCCTGTTCCATCAGCAATACACCACTGGAAGTGAAGCAGGAACTCGGTTTTCCAATGAATACCTGGCACTAGGAGCAGATCCAAAGGGTTTTCCAGCCTCTGTTCATGAGGTTTTAGTTGACTGCTGTATGAAGTTGAATAACGTGTTGTTTGTTTGTGATTTGATTTGTTTAATTGCTTTTAAATAAGACCGAGATCACCTGGGTTTCTTTACCAGGGTGCATGGAGAGATTGATTGTGTAAACTGCACTGAAACACATGGGGCAACTGACAAATGGTGATATGAGTGAAAATTAGGGCAAAATGCCCTTTTAATTTGAAGCTGAGCTAATATACACCACCGAAAGTGACAGGGCTCTTCCTTGGACTTTTTTTTTAAATTAGCAAACTGCGGCACAGATAGAAATGTCACAATTCACCTGTGTGCCCCTCAAGTCAGGGAGACTTAAATCAGCCAGGATTCATTTTCAGTGAGTCCTGTTGGAAAATGTGTGAATATCAGGCGAGGACAGGAATGGGCTCAATTGTGACATATCTGCAGTGGAATGGCCTGCTGAAACCTCAGAATCAACCCACTTTCTCTCTCAGTGCATGCTCAGTACTTTTCTGGGACAGGCGGTCACATAAATGTCTGAGGGAGATGGCTTTTGAAAAAGGATCAGGTACACTTCCAACCTCACACCCACTTTTCATCCACAAAGATCTTACACCAGGAACCCATCAGCCCTTTTCATTCCAACAAAGAAATGAAAGGACAGCCAGAATCAGGACAAAATCCTGAAACAGCTGTATTGGTGCACCTACACTACAGGGTTCAATAAGATGGTTCATCACAACCTTCCCAAGGGAAATTAGGACAACAAATGCTGGCCCAACTAGTCATGTGATGTGAAATGATTTTAAAAACTTACTGATGTTAAAATTTTCATCCAGGTTTGAATTCTGCCCCAAGTCCTGGTTAAGATATAGGCTGAAAAATACTCCTTTGTGTGAATACTCAGTGCTTCCTTACATTGCTCTAAAAACAGAAAGTGCAAATAACTGAAGATCAGAAAGGGTGTTTATTACAGAAGATTGACAAAGCTAGCCATGTTTTCTGGCTAATTCAGGATTTTCCCCTCTACAGATGCCTTGGTGCTCTTCATAGAAAGAGAGTGAAAACCACACAGAAATGTCAATGGAGTTGTTTTCACAACTCCTGTCTGCTGGTTTCAGTAGGACAGTGGCAGAGCCTTGGATGCAGCCTGCCCGTCTGACCTTAGGGGGAAGATGTATGATGTTGAAAAACTTGAGATAAGGAAAGAAGAAGAAGACAGTTGTCCTTATTCCAAGGAATAAATTTGGCTCAGTAATAGCTACCAACAAGTTGATATTACTACATTGACACCTGTGCACCATTGCAAAAATAACATCCAGTTAAACGTCCAACCTGCCCTGTCTAGCTCTAGTAGATGGTTCAGAATGGGGGACTGCTACAAAAATGTCTGTTTCCCAATGCAATGTGTTTCGCATAAATACACTTTATATTGGTTTGTGCTCTGTTGTTCCTTTTCTTTATTCTGTCAGACCTACAGCAAAATTCCAGCCATCTTGCCATGCCAGTTGCCCTTAGCGATGTGCCACCTCACGTAGCAGAATTGCTTGAAGATGAAGAAAGCTGGGACTTCAATATTTTTGAGCTTGAGACTAGAACTAACAAAAGGTGGGTGCCAGTATTGAATTGTGTGGCCCTATGGCTAAATGAAGGAGATTCTTTGGCTTTCCTTGTATTACCTGTTGATCGTGAAATATACTCATTCTCTCTGATCTTTTCATTGAATGTTTGGCAGTAATTAAAGGGGAATAGCGAGTACTTTTTTCTAAGATAATATTCTTTCTGACCTTCATTTATTCACTCCTGAATTTTCTGAAACTGATTACAATTAATTAATTTTAACTGCATGCTTGTATTTAATCATGGACCATTTGGTTCAGTGAAGTATTTAATTAATTGGTTTACCTTTTCATTGAAAATCTGCTTGGACTTGATTTCAGTGGTGTAATTATCAAGTGCATTGTATTCTGCTGGTTACCATTACAAAAACAGAGTAAAATAAGCTGTTAAAAAATAAAAAAGTTTCCATGGGAAAGTGCAGGGTTGCAAGTTATCGATGTACATACACCCATTCACTGCAGAATAAATTGTGCTTCCAGAGTCAACTGACATTCCACTGCATTACAACAGTGATTACATACTAAAAATACTTAATTGAGTTTAAGATTATTTGGGAATTCCTAAAGATGTGGATGACAATATATAAATGTAGGCTTTGTTTTTGAAATGAAAGATAAATTAGACGTGAGTGAACAGAAGCTATTTTAACACCACTGTGTGTTTTGCTCCCATCATAATGGGCAGAAAGGTGATGCAAAATTATAAATGAATGTCTATGAAGTTGGAAATGACCATTCTAAACATCACAAGCCCAGTTTTCACTCCTAGGTCTGGACTGCAGGGATAGCATATTTGCCAGCCCTGCAAACCTGGCCCTGGGGAAAAAGTGTCCCGGAACATCAGGTTTGCATTCCTCAAGAGGTGGGCAGAGCAACTCTAGGATGAGACTGCTAGTTGTGGAAGTAGGTTTGTGAGCAAGGCCAGCCTCTGTGAGCAAGGCCAGCCTCTGTGCAATGGCACGATAATGCAGTTTAAGGCAGTTTTTCCTCCCAACCAATCACTGCTCACACTCACTCTTGCCTACACCCTCCCCACACACCATCTACGGCAACCCTCTGCCACCTCATTGCCTCCATGCCCCTCTACATACCTCCACATTGCAACTCATTTCCTCTATGCCAACCTGTGGCCCTGTACCCACTTCCCTGACCCTTTATACGGCCCATGCTAACCTGTGTCCCTGCATCCATCACCTGGGACCTTTATAGCCCTATGCCAACTTAGTGCAACTTTATACCAATCGCGCCCTACCACCGTTTGCCCCTCCCTCACCCCCACCTCCCCATATTATCACACCTATTTTACACAATGGGTAAGCCCTAGGAGAGACAAAGCATAAAATGAGGTTGTGTCTATTAATTATGACACTTTTTAAAAAGTTACTGATTTTAAAAAAATCAATACATCAAAATTCTTTCACCTAATGTTTTATGAAAACAAACTTTTGTATTCTAGATAATTTGACAATTTTGGGAGTTCTTCCTTAGCTTTGACAGTTCTTTGACATATTTTCAGTTCCAGTTTTATGTATGATTTAAGTGCATTCATGTGCACAAAGGGTATCTGACCCCTCTCCCCAGCAAGACCATCTAGCTCCCCCTAGAGAGTACCTAAGGCATCCTGGGATCACATCCACAGGAGATGACACCTATCCAAAGGAGAATGCTGACCTTTCAAATGAAATTCACTGAAACGAAGCTGCTCTGACCTGATCTGCCCTGTGCATTCTGCAATCCAGACAGCAGGAATAGCAAAGTCCGATTTAAAAGGTGATAGCTGACCATCTGAATGGCCAAGTGTCTCGGGGAACTGCGTATGCAGGAAGCTCAGGACATCCACAACCCCACCCCCATGAAAATGAGAAATTACATGTGTGGGGGATGGACTTGCAACTCTCTGGGATTTGTCAGTAATTCACCAAGATGGAGACGATCTCTGTCATGATGAAAATCTGGGCCTGTGTAAAATGGTTGTTGCAGACACCGTCTAAACTTACTATCCCAGACACGAAATAAAGTCTCAGAGACTGAAAAATCTCAAGATTCAGAACATTCGGATATTTGGCAAGTCTGTTCATTTTCAGGTCAGATACAATAATTATTTGTACCAATTGAAAAATCAGGAAAATCTACAAAAGCAAACAGTGAAAAAAATGATTACAACGTTGTGTGTTGTGGCTGCAGTTTAAATTAATCTGTCCAACATGTAAATATTCTCCTGTGATATGGGGACAAGGAGGTATGATGGCCAGCCTCTATTATTTGGCATCTAAGATGAAATAGATGCTGATGGAAGTTTGTAATCTAGTCATCTTTGTGTGGCAGTCTTGACAGTCTGGTTCTTGAGCCAAACAGGTCCTTGTGCCTCTTACTGCTTGATTAAGCACACCGCCAGGCCAATGTGTAAGAGCCCTGGTTTGTCAAGTTGGGGTGGCACGGTGGCTCAGTGGTTAGCACTGCTGCCTCACAGCGCCAGGGACCCGGCTTCAGTTCCACCCACGGGCGACTGTCTGTGTGGAGTTTGCACATTCTCCCCGTGTCTGCGTGGGTTTCCTCCGGGTGCTCCGGTTTCCTCCCACAGTCCAAAGATGTGCAGGCAATGTGAATTGGCCATGCTAAATTGTCCATAGTGCCCAGGGGTGTTTAGGTTAGGTGAGTTAGACAAGGAAAATGTAGGGGTAGGGGAATGCATCAGGGTGGGATGCTCTTTGGAGGGGCGGTGTAGACTTGTTGGGCCAAATGGCCTGTTTCCACACTGTAGGGATTCTATGAAAAAGTTGCGGGAGTGTTACCACTGGTTTGTTTGGTTGGCCTGTTGTAGCTAGTTTAATATCTGCACTTAATTACATGCTGTACCAACTTGCACCTTACTTTCTGGACTTAGGCAAGCAGGGATAGTAAGTGTTTTCCTTATTATGTAAATCTCCACTCAAACACTGTCTTTGAAGTTTGTTCCGTAGCCTGTTTTGGAGAATGTTAAACTCGATGTGGGATTTCCATGCTGGTCGGACACCTGGCTGACTTTCAAAATAAAACTCCCCTGCCAATCCTAGATGCAGCCAACAGAATTTAGCTCTCCATTGTCAGTCCTTACTCATCACTCAGGACCCCAATGGGGGAAACGCTGTCCCCAAAAGTCAATCGGAGGCTGGCAACTCTACAGTGCCAATAGGAGCAATGCCAGTTCCTGTAGTGCTGCATGGACTTCATCAAGGATCCTCACTGAATCCATGGGCTTAGATGAGAGCAGTGAGGGTGGTTGGCTAATGCAGGCAGAGGGGGTCATGCAGAGGGCAAGGCAGGAAGGCTTTCAGCACCTCTGTCAACCCCTTCCTTTGTAATTTACCATCAGATACAGAGTGTCTGGCAATGAGGGATCCTGTCCCCCCAGCACCTCTATCCCCTTTTTACCCTTGACCCTGCCCACCACTCCCTGTCCGTTCTCCTCCCTCATCCTATCCTGCTCACCCTCCCATCCTGCTGGGACATTCCGCACTCCCATTCTCCCACCACGTTCCTGCTTCCCCTCAGTCCTCTCCCCTCCCTCCTCACCCTCTCCTCTTCCCCTTCCCTCCAGCTGACAATGTACCCAGATATATTCAGCTCCTCCACCATCAACGCTCAGTAGCAGCAATGTGTCTAACTTGCATTCAGAACCTCACCAAAGATCCTCAGACAGTACCTTCCAAACACACAACCACTTCCATGTAGAAGGACAAGGGCAGCAGATACATGAGAACACCACCACCTCAAGCCATTCACCATCCTGACTTGGAAATATATCATTGTTCCTTGACTGTCGCTGAGTCAAAATCCTGGAGCTCCCTCCCAATATCATTGTGAGTGTACTGATGCCAAATGGACTGCAGTTTTTTCAAGAAGGCAGCTCACCACCACCGTCTCAGGGGTAGCAAGGGATGGACAGTAAATGATTGCCTGGCCAGCATCATCTGTATTCCATGAACAATTTTTTTAAAAAAGTGGCAACTTCCACAATGCACAAAGTTTGAATTCCAGTTTAGCTGGCTGCACATTTCATCAACAAACTTCAAGAAAACCAAGGCAGTGATTGCTATTAGAGAGTGTGTCAGATTACAGTTCCAAATATAAAAAAATACGGCAGGCACACAAAATTGAAAATGCCTGCAGAGCTAGTATGGGAACATTCTGAAAGGAAATAATTCAAACAAGTTTTTTTTTGTAAATTCATAACATTATTGCGCAAGGTCCAATTGAGTTGTTGAAGTCGAAGTTGTATTCAATGCAAAATGACTTGTTTGATGCTGGTGAATTCAGGGAATTCTCGTTTAAAGATGTGGATCTGTTTCTGAAAATCACAACTTAAAATGAAATGACTCTTAAGAAAATCATAAGTACGCATAGAAATCAACTCTAAAATTAGAGTTTGATTCCTTTCAACATTTCTTACAAGGACAAAATAAAATACAAGTTGAAATACTGTACTATACAGCTGCAAGCACCAGTCATTCCTAACAGAATAATTTGCTATATAACATACAACCAAGGATAAAGGAATCACAATGCACAAGAGATGTGAAATGCTTAAAGAATAATCACACCTCTGGTCTAGTAGTTCTAGATTGACCAGGCTCCATCTAGAGACAGAGGTTGGTCAATGCAGGTTGCAGCTGATGTCCCAGGATTACCTGCCCTGACCAACATTTGCCACTAGAAGAGAAGCCAGGAGCCAAGAAAATGGAGTGGCAGAAGAACAGACCCTATGGAGGCAGATGAGAACAATGGGAGGGATGTAAGGCCAAGAAGAAAGGTTAGGCAGTGTGCAGGGGCAAGAGGTGAAATTGGAAGTACTAGTGGAAAAGGTTATGCCACATTGTAGGCCACAGAAAAGAGACCTGGAGCAAACAATGTTAAAGTGAAACTGGTGACTGCTTTATTACATTGACACAATGTTGTGGGAACTTACTGTAGTTGCTAATCTGCTTTGTAAACATAATCTTTTCTTTATCGTTTTAGGCCATTGCTTTATCTTGGTTTAAAAATCCTAACACAGTTTGGAGTATGTGAATTTTTGAACTGTTCAGAAAAGACTCTAAGATCATGGCTACAGCTCATAGAGACCAATTATCATGCATCAAATTCATACCACAATTCAACACATGCTGCTGATGTATTACACGCTACAGCATATTTCCTGCGAAAGGACCGAGTCAAGGTAAATTTTTCTACTAACTGCTCCGAATACATTGAAGTCTTACTGTAGCAGTTAGTTATGATGTACAATAGTGGAGATATAGAAAATCAACTAAATTTATTAAAATTAGCCAAAAATTAACTAAATTAGCTAAGTTTCTGAAATATTCTATCACGATGTTTAAATGTCTCTGTTTCTGCATTTTATATTTTTTTGAATAGCATAATTTAACACATCAATTACTGATTGTTTTGACTTTGTCAACACTAACTCACCAAAGTGGCAGCTTGTGCTCCAATAAGATGTCTGGATATTTGTTCTGAGGGAAGCTGGGTATGATTGGTCGAGACAAAACATTTTTTGTCTACAGCGCAAAAGTCACTGCCACACCACTTCAGTGAGCTGCACGAAGAGAGCATGGAAGGAATCATGGGAGCCAGGAGCACCTTTTAACGCAAGGACAAAGCTGAGGTCATAGGCCTTAGTACAGATTGATTTTTTTTATTACATGTAAACCAGAATTATATCTTTGATGCAAAGTCTGTTTCGTTTGTTAGAGGCTTTGCTCTTCTGATATGCGAGAATTAATTTTCTATTAAAGAATGGTGAGCTACAAATTTCTTTCTTCCCAGTTTTATTAACATGTTGCTGGTTGTGATCTTTCTGTGCCCAATCCCCTTGAGGCAGGTAGCTTGGACTTCATACTATCTCCTGATTTGTCTGATGGTAATATTCAGCTGGGCATTACCCAAAATGGCTGGCTGGCAGAACGCTTAAGCATCTGCAAAGTTGGCACATGTGCTAACTAGTTTGACAGCTTAAAGGTAACCTGCACACTTAAACAGGAGCTACACTCAGTGGAAGCTGTTTCTGACCGCCAGTACTGAAATTGGCTGCAATGAGGAATTGACTAACTAGAGCACCAGGAAAACGAGAGCGCTCGAGGTTTCACAGCTGTTCTGCTGCAGGCCTTAGTGATGGAGACCTACAGGAGGAGAGAGGCTATATTTCCATAGAGGGTGCTAGGAGGCCCTCTTGAAAATTTCCAAAAGGAAGAAGAGAAGTAGAAAGGGGGGTCAACACTGGAGTCTTGTCTCCAGGACATGGCAGCAAGAAGTTCACTGACCTTATCCTGCTGGCCGAGGTCAATGAAAATGTCTCCAAAGGCTATCTCACACTCATCAAATGCCAATTCTCACATTGCTCATTGCACCATTTTTCCCTTCGTTCATCAGTCAGCAGTCTGGTCAGGCCTAACATTCAGGCATTTCCCCTTACCCTCCCACACTTTTCCAATAACGTAAACCTCACACTCGCCTCTCATAGCCTCCACAAAGTATTCAGCTGCAAATAGGCACAACACCTAAACTGAGTGAAATGCAGTCATTGACATTTGTCCCGTTTTGCAGGACAAGGTCATGCACAATCATAGGGAGCACAGCAGAGCAGAACCAGCATCACTGAAGCCCTATTTAAAAGATTACATTCCAGATAATGGGCTGGCTGTGAAAGACCAAAGCCAACTGGCTTTCTGAAGAACTACCATCAGGCCAGTGTCAGGAGGTGGGGGAGAGAGCTATTCTATAGCACCGTCACTTAATCTGACACTAGCCACTACCATTAAGATACTTGCACTGCAGCAGCTTGAGAAGGTACTGTAGGGTTGTGATCTGCATAGGGTAAATCGTCAGGCATGAGTGGGCTGCAGCTGGGTAAGAGTGAAACATAGTTAGTGTAGCAGTTCACTGGGAGGTTGCTTTAAAGACACTGATGAGGACTTCAGTGGGATGACAAACTGGAAAATGCTGATAAGGATGCACACCAAGATACTGGGTGAATTGGCACACCTGCAGAAAGCCTGTTGTAACCTTCAAGGAACATGGAAGAGCCTGGTTTCAATGTGGAATAGGGCTTTGCACAAGAGTTCGGAGACCATCCTTCCCACTGCGTAAGTGGTGACTGCAGTATTCAGTTGTTCAATTGGCATTGAGATAGATAATATATTTCAATTTAACAGTGCCAGCACTCTTTGTTTCTTCACCAGGAGATCCACCCATTTTCATAAAATCATGAGGGCATGGATAGGGTAAGTAGACAAGGTCTTTTTCCCAGGTTGGAGAAGTCCAAAACTAGAAGGCATAGTTTTAAGCTGAGAGGGGAAAGATATAAAAGGGACCTAAGGGGCAACTTTTTCATGCAGAGCGTGGTGTGTTTATGGAATGAGCTGCCAGAGGAAGTGGTGGAGGCTGGTACAATTACATTTAAAGGGCATCTGAATGGATATATGAATAGGAAGGGTTTAGAGAGATTCAGGCCAAATGCTGGCAAATGGGACTAGATTTATTTAGGATATCTGAATGGTATGGACTAGTTAGACTGAAGGGTCTGTTTCCGTGCTCTATATATCTATGACTCTATGACTTCAATTCCACAAATTAGGAATTGACTGTTTAACTTTGGAAAAAGACACAACCTTGACCATCAAAATCAAATTGGTTGTGTTAGATTGGAAGAGGTTAAATGGAAATGCACACGCAGTCTGAGGGTTACATCTTGCCCAACTAGCTCACGTACAAGGGCTATGGGTAAAGAGACCCTCAGCAGCCAAATCAACACATGCCCCCTCATGGTCACATTCCTTAGAAAGGTGCCCAATTTCTGGGGGCACAGCTTGAGAGAAAAATGTGCAGCTCATGCTTAAAGTGGAATCACATCACAAAGGTGTACAGCTCATTGAAACAGGGAAAGTCATAAGTCAGATCTCTACCTGAGAGTGAAGTATGACATGATGGTATGAGTGGGCATTCCAGCATTACTTATAGTAACGTTGACAAAGAAGTTATAGAGTCTCAAATTCTGCCATCTTTATTATTTTGCAACGTGGACACCTGTGACGGGCAATCTTCAGGTTCACAGTGACCCTATTATTCCAGTTTTGGAAACTATCACAATTCCAGTGCCTTACCAAAGCATTGCCCTAGATGAGTTCACATTCACTAAGAAAAAGGCAGAAACTTTATGGGAGTAAATCTGTTTGCTGAACTTGGCTTCATACTTGAAGAGTCTGCCCAAGCACACGTTAATGTTATCAATGACATGGAATATACGCATCGGTATCCTTCCGTCTTGTGTGACTGGTCCTTCCATCTGAAACAGAAGTTACATCAAGTAAGACTACTCCATGTCCAGTGAGTAAATCAAAGCAAATCAGGTCCTTATCCTTAGAAACCTTGGAAATCCTTAGAAACAAAACTCCACATACGCAGTGTTTGGTAGTGTATATCTCCAGATCTTAGTGAAAAAGAAAAATCCCTTTTGATGAAAGATGAATACCCTCAGCATTTTTCACAAGTGATTCTGCTGTAATTCACATTATCATGAGAAGATCTTTAAATGCCCAAGCCCATGTTATAATTATTTTGGTGATATGGTTACTATCTTTAGATGTCTTTTACCTTGCACATGAATAGCAATTTTTTTGCATAAAACCATTTAACAATGTGTTCATTTAACCTGGAATCAGTATATGCAGTTGCTGATTTATTGCTGTATTTTCAGGGAAGTTTAGATAAGCTGGATGAGGTTGCAGCACTCATTGCAGCCACAGTACATGATGTGGACCATCCAGGGCGCACCAACTCCTTCCTGTGTAATGCAGGAAGTGAGTTGGCTGTACTATATAACGATACGGCAGTCCTGGAAAGTCATCATGCAGCCCTGGCTTTCCAGCTCACAGCTGGAGACGACAAGTGCAACATCTTCAAAAACATTGAAAGGTTAGATTTGCTGATCAATGGATTATTAAGTTCACTGAATATTCCCAGTTCCATATGTATATTTAGTTTGTTAAATCATATTGTCTGTAAACTCTATTGGTAAAAAGTAGGAATCTGAGGTATTTTCTTTCCTTTCACTCTTCTGAGGAATGACAAAGTTAAAGAATATTAATAAATTATATAATATGTTTATAATATTACATACATTACCTTTAATGCAGTAAAATATCTTATGGCACTTAGCAGGAATGTATTGTCACCAAGCCAAAGAAGATGATTTTAGGACAACTAACTAAAGGTTTCCTTTAGTTTTGAGGAAGGGTCACCGGACCCGAAACGTTAACTCTGATTTTTTCTTCACAGACGCTGCCAGACCTGCTGAGCTTTTCCAGCAAGTTCTGTTTTTGTTCCTGATTTACAGCATTCACAGTTTTTTCGGTTTTTATTAAAAATTTCCTTAAATAGATTTTAAAGAATATATTAAAGGAAGAGAGAAAAAGATTTAGGAAGAGCATTCCAGAACTTAGGATCTAAAGGGCAGATAGCATGAACAATATAGGAGTTGATGAAAATAATGGGCAGCTAAAGATGTGCTGGTACATGAAGTCAGTCCTACATTCATGATGGCTGAAGCATCACAATTAAACACTCAAAGGGGACTTAGATAATAAAACAGAGTCATTATATTAACTGTTACTAGATGGTTAAAAAAATTTAGAATTTTTAAAAAATTAAATAGCAACAAAACTTTGCCACAAGATTAAACTACTACTGAACAAACAACAAAATGTCAGGAAATAATCATGTGTCCAATTTGTTTTCCAGGAATCAATTTCGGACGTTGCGACAAGCAATCATTGATATGGTTTTGGCTACAGAGATGACAAAGCATTTTGAACATGTGAACAAATTTGTGAACAGCATCAACAAACCTATGACTTCTATTGAGGAGACAAGCTCAAATGTAAGGTCTAAACCTCAGCATCCTCATGTATCAGTGACATGGAATTCACTGGCAATCAAGATGTCCAAAAACTAAATACACTCTATAAAATTTATCTATATTATTATAGCACAAATGTTACCCTTAATTGATTTCATGGCAGTAATTTAATCTCAAGACTCATTGGCAATTTGATTATAAACTTACAAGCTTCCTGCACATAGTTGATGACATTAGCTGAGCCTTTTGATTGGTCTATATATGCCCAGGTTCACATCATTGTGTGCACCTTGCTTCTGTTATCAGCATCTGAGATGTATACTGAGAAAACATGTTTCAGTTTTGGAGTTGGGTGACAAGGATAAGGCAACAAACTTTTGTGCAACCCTGGTATCTGTTGCGAAGGCAGTGGCTGATTTATCTGTTGTTCTGTATAGCTATTGGGCAAGGAGATCCAGGATTTTGGACCCAGAAGCAATGATAAATATTCAATTCAGAATGTTCTGTTACTTTGACAGAGAAATGTAGGCAATGATGTACCGATGCAAATGCTCCTCTTATTCTCCTAGATGATAAAATGTGTGGTTTTGGGATTTGCTTCAATCCATCCTGTATTTTTGCTGAGAGAGTGGCATAATGGTATTGTCATTAGACTATTAATCCAGAGGCCCAGCTAAGTGCTGCAGGCACTCGAGTTTGTCTCCCACCGTGGCAGCCAGTGGAATTTAAATTCATTCAGTAAACCTGGAAGCAAAAGCTAGTCTCTGTAATGGACACCACAAAACTGTTACCAACTGTTGTAAAATCACATCTGATAAACCTGCCATCCTTTATTGGTCAGGATTACAATTGGCTCCAAATCCACAGTAATATAGTTGACTCTTCACTAGCTTCTGAAAGAGCCTAGCAAACCATTCAATTCGAAAGCAGTAAAGGATGGATATAGATAATAGCCTTGTCAGCAACACCCACAATCCATGAAAGGATCAAGAAAATTCTAACCTTCAGTCATCATTCCTAATAATATTTACTACCCAATATTATTCATTTAATAACATAATTGTGTTTTACTAGTATTTTCTGAACAAATTGCTTTACTCTGTCTTTCATTTTATGATGAGAAATGCAAGTTGTTCTTGAAATAAATGCCACAATTTAATAATCCCAGTAGATTTTTTATAATTTTTGATTATTTATTATTGTAAAATTCATTTCGCATACATTTGTGATGGGATCTAAAGCATATCATATAAAGGTATTTGCTTAATGCTGCCACAATTACCTGTTAATGGGAGGAAACCCTGTAGCTGGCCTTAAGTATCTTAAGTACCATGTGTTCTGTTCTTCCACCTTCCAGACCATGTAACAATAAAAATAGTGTTACAAATATTTCACATCCACCTGATCATGCAGTTAAATGGTCCTGTTAAATGAATCATCTAAAAGATATTACCACAGACAAGGCTCCCTTAATACAGAGCTGGAACAACGGCCTTGATTTTTGTACTCAAGGCCTGGAGTGGGGTTTGAACCCATAAGCAGACGACACAGAGAAAAAGTGCTGGTAGCCTAGTGACAGCTGACACTTTGGAATGCAGGACTGTTCAAAACTGAGGAAGATTATCTTGATCTATTGAATCGGAACTGATGATTTCAGGCTTAATACACCACTTCTCAAACCTTTACCAGGGCTATTTTCCAAATACTTATCTTTTAATCTCTTGAAATTTTAAAATATCCCCAGTCTCCCTTGGTGACTGTTTCATGTATTCAACATCCTTTGTGTAAAGCAGTGTAAATTTTAACTTAGACAATGGTGGTGCCTGACTATCCCTGCTTTAAGAGTCCTTTTTCCAAGTTTGATTTAGAAGCCACTTCTCAAATCCTTTAAATATAGGCCATTTCTGTTTGTAGTGCTGGACAATCAAACTGGCTTTGCTCACTGAGAAATGCCCAAACCTTAGTGATTTGATAATTAGCTAGCTACATCTTCTCCTTCCCAACTCACAAGCTCAACAGGCTCCCTACTGCAGATTAGAACTGATTTAGAAGTTTCAGTTCCACTTCCTCCTCACTTGATGGCCCATGTGTTTGTGCAAGTATTCCTATGGGTTTTGTCCACAATAGTATACGTTTCCTTAAGAGCACTTGGTTGCCACATGACCTTGTATTTTTACCCAGGTTTAGTAATCCAGGACAAAAATTACTTCAGCAGAAAAGAAGGATTTTGACAAGATTTTTTAAATAAGTTATAAGTGGAGAGGTTTAGGAAAGGAATTATAGACCAGTCCATGATTAGCCTAAAGGGGGCAGGGTGTATACTTAATAACAGAGACAAAAATAGTTTGTTACAGATTACAAAGACACAGAAAATTCCAGAAGTAAAGATTTGTGAACTGAAGTTTAAAGACATACATAAAGGCTTTAAGTGCAATGAGAAAAAGGTCAGTATGAGCTAACATAGAAAGGAGTGGTGGCTCAGCTTAACTTAATGTTGGGCAGGATAAGTAGAGCGGATTTTGAATAAAAACATCAAAATTGGCTTTAATTTAGCACTAAATTTAAAATCTGATATAATAACTGGCAAAGGGAATGGAAATGTCACATGATGTTGTCTTCTACCAATTTTGCAGCAAAAGTACAATGTCGATACAGCACAGAACAAATTTCACATTGGATCTGATCCGTTTCCACATGAGCTCGCAGTGCTCAGTGTTAACACTGGTATCACAGTCAAGAAAATTCTCAATTACCTCACATTCTTCTTGAGTGTTGATGTCACTAGGAAGCTTGAGAAAGCACTTCTACACACAAACAGTGGTAGATGTTTTGAATTCTCTTCCGCAGATGGCGGTAAATGTGAGATCAGTTGTTAATTTTAAACCTGAGACAGATAAATTTCTGTTAAACAGAAGTATTAAGGGATAAAGAGCCCATATGGAGTATGGAATTAGGCCACAGATCAGCCACGATCTGATTGAATGGTAAAACAAGTTTGAAGGGCTGAATGGCCTACCCCAGTTCCTATGTTCCTAAATACAGTTTCATTTTCAGAGAGGTTTAATTTGTATGGTAAATAATTTTTCATACAATGGTGCTGAATTCTCATGCGGTTTGGCCTGTTCTTTTGGTGTAACTTTGACAAGAGTTCAGGGGAATTTCCTGAGAATCAGTGTCGGTAGTCTAAAAGGGCTGGGGTGCCATTTCTTTGGACGGATTGCCAAACTGTGACTCAAAATATGGCTGGAGAGTGTGCCATCCCCAGAACATCAGAAACAGTATATTTTCAGAGCAATATTTTTTAAAAAAAGGAATATTTGATAATTTGCAATTAACCTTGTAAGCTAAATTGCATCAATAGTTGTAAATGTTTAGTAATTATATATAAATTCATTGATTTCTGCTTATGCCCCAGAGCGAGTGCAGTGATGGTGAACGTCCTTCCAGCATAAAGAACCCAATTGAGGACAGACTGCTTATCAAACGCATGTTAATTAAATGTGCTGATATCGCTAACCCTTGCCGCTCTGTAAAGTTATGCGTAGAATGGGCAGGGAGAATTTCAGAAGAATATTTTGCTCAGGTAACATTGCAATATTTACCATTATTTAAGGTTGTAAGGGATCACACTGAACCTAGCTGAATGTAAACTGAGGGAGAGGAATTGATTTCGTATTTTTTTCTTAGTATTTTAAGCTTTCCAGTGGAATTCCAAGTTCTCAGTTTATCCTTGCTGGAAAAATGTTTTGTGCACCTGCAATAATGGCCTGGATTTTACAGCCTCCCATCACATATGTTTTCAGCATATGCCGAAAGGCCAACCTAACACTTTCCCATCCACCTGACGAGTTCCCCATAATATAGTAGGTGGGTGAGCATTGAAATCAAAAGCTGTTTTAAAAAAAAGCAACAGGCAGTTGAGCTTCTCAACAAACCAATTGACCTAAATATTATCCTGCTCACACCATTTACAACTGAAAAGAGAGCTGCTGTGGTTCAGTTGTAGTGGCCGTATCTCTGGAGAAGAAGGTCTGGGTTTAAGTTGCATTTGTTATGTGTTATACTGTGTTTGAAAACATTTACAACTAGCAGGCAGGTGGCAGTGGGCTGTATTTAAAAACTACTGAAGAGACAGCAAAGAAAGAGGGCACATCACTTGCAGCTAGGAGTGGGGTGACCCCCCCCAAGATGTTTGTACCCCAGAATGCTTAATTTCCCCTGTTTGAACATATAGTGGTCATATTGGTCAGCAGCCTGATGTATAGTTTCCTGCAAAAGAAAGGCTTCATACCACGCACACTGACACATTATCCTTCATTCTCAGTAACAACTGCCATTGATATAACAATTACTGTGTTTGTCAACAGACCGATGAGGAAAAGCGCCAAGGCCTGCCAGTCGTGATGCCAGTCTTTGATCGAAATACCTGTAGTATTCCAAAATCTCAAATATCGTTTATCGATTATTTTATAACTGACATGTTTGATGCTTGGGATGGTAAGAATATTATTTTGATTTATTTTACACTTTATATGTTTTTTTAATATATCAACCATGCAGGGCTATTATATTGTCACCTTCTTAATACTCTGGGCTGTACACATGCAATTAATGTTTCAACCCAGCTCAAGGAGAAAGCCCAAATTTCCTGGGAATTTCTGCCACTGTGACCTAGTTAAAGGTGGGCTGGAAAACCCCTTCTCATTTTGTAAATATAGCTTTTCTTTTTCCCCACTTCCGATAAGTTCATAGTAACACAGCAGCAAAACGTCATAGGAAATTCAGGACCTGTATCATTTAGTAAACCTGTAGGGTTTAGCTGAATGTGTTGTTCACCCACTATGCAATTGCTATTTATCTGTATAACCTCTAAAACCATTCTTCAGCAATGCCTTGGGCTCACATGGAGAGTGAATGGTGGTGGAGATTCTGTTCACTTTTGTCCGCACTAAAACATTCAGTTACAACCCTACAGGCAGGTGTCAAGCAAACCGTAGGCACATAGTCAGCAGTGTATTGAAAAGGAGAGAAATCAATGCAAGCAACTTTAGTATTTTACTTCACAGTCTGCCATTGCATGCTGCCATTGGTAGAGGTGTGAGAGCAGAATAGGTACCTATTCGCTTGCCAGAGGTTGGTGAATGGGAGTGAAGAGGATACTTATGGTGGCAGCTATTGGATTTCTGATTCCTATGAACATAGTAGAAATTATATGTAAATGTATAAACTCTAAATTAAACACTTGAAGTCATAAAACAATGCAAATTATTGTACACACAGCACTTCAGAGTAATACATCATAACCATGCTTATTTTAAAAGGTCAGCTTATCATTGGTTACTATGTTATTTATTTTATTAGAAATATTAGTCATGGGTAATTATTTAGCATTTGCTGAATTAAATACTTTTCAATAATTTAACAATCATTTCCATCTAATTTCAACTTTTTTCCTTTCAGCATTTGCAAACCTCCCTAAATTAATACATCACTTAGCTGAGAACTACAAGTACTGGAAATCCCTAGATGAATGCAAGTATAGAGGTTTGCGACCTCCACCTGACTCTTAAGAGGTTAAAGGACAAAATGTTTGGTTTGCCAAATTCACTTTAACCTGTGACGCAAGCAAAGCCATTGAAGAGATTCTATTTTAGTTCATGTGACTGTAAAATTATATTGTAATATAAATCTTACACAATGCGGGAAGACTAGATGTACAGAGAGCTGGAAAATATGTTGTATGCTATCATGGCGGTACCCCAATTACAAAGCATAGAATGCTTGAGTTTCAACACTGGATTCATCAAGTTCAAGAAAACTTTTGTACCATTCTTGAGGAATATCACAGAGTAAGGAAAGTAACTGAGACACCTCTACTGAGAGAAGGCGCAATTGAAACTACTGTTTCTGCAATTATTACCCTAAAACCATAAAGTTATATGTAAGTAAGCCTTTCATTTCCTACAGAGTTCTTTTCTCAAAGTTCTACTTGCTTGGAAAATTCAGGCAATATTCTAACCATTGATAGATTTTTTTTACCAATTTACCATTGTTTTAAATAAATGAATCGGGGCATTACGGCAGCTTTGAGCAAAAAGTAGTTTACGTATTTTATAAATAATATGGAAATTAATCTTTACTCCTTGTGAAATACAAAAACAAATCAGCTTGACAAATTGGGATATTCCATTCCTTAATTTATTGCCACCCTGTATATTTTGATTTATTTTTTAAAGTTTTACTTTGACGAGGACGTAATCAGTGCCAAATGTATGAAGCTAAGGTTAATTTACTTTATGAAATGTACCAAATAAAATATTTTTGCATTCCATATTGATTTATGTGGAAATATGCATTAATATTTGTAGATTTAGTCTACGTTAGTATTCAGTCCAATATATGCAACAGCCCCGATGTAACTGCCCTAAATTAATACACTATTCTGAATAAGGTCACAAACTAGTTAAGAATGAATTGGGCAATTTGTCCTATCTTAGCTCAGTCATCCAGATGTATCCTAGTGTCCCTCCAATCGTTTCTTAAATGATTCCTGGGTTTTTGTCTCGATTATTCTGTCAAGGTGTCTGTTCCACATGTTGATCAATTTTTCTGCGACAAAGGACTTCTGAATACCAATCCTAAATTTGCCTTTGCCAACTTGACCTTGTGGCTCTTTATCACATTCACACAATTAATTTTAAAGTAATCTTACAGATTTTAATTTTCCATGTGATTAGCTATTTCAAATACCTAAAATTACTTCTTAGATATCTTTTTATCAAGTCTGAAAAACTCAAATTTCTGGAATCTTTCTTCGTAACTCTGGCCTCTGACATGAGGGATCAACCATATGGTTCTTCTCTGCATTTTCTCAAATAGTTTCTTGTTTCTTTGTAACTAGAACAAAACACAGCACCCAAGATGCACCCTGACCGGAGTGCTATGCAGATTGATCATGGCTCCTTTAGATTTGTATTTGTTGTTTTGGTTATATAGTTTTGCATTGCCTCGCTTTGTTGATTGCTTCTTAGCATTGGTTGGGTGTGTAGATTGCTAAATGTGCTTAATTTAAGCTCTTTCAATTCTATTCACAAAACACATCAGAAACTTTCCTTTCTTTTGCACAGAAAGTAGATGGATATGCAATATGTACATAAAAATAATGTTCTGATTGCAAATGGTCAGAGTCAGTTTTATTCCGTGTGAATTAATGTAGCAGCAGTAACTATTGGATGTAAGAGTAAGCAAAATACCCATGTTGAATGGGGGCTGAACATTGTGAATCTGTTACAGTTGAACTTAGTGGGCACAGGCTATAAAGATACATCATCAGCAACAAAATGAGACTGACTTAATATGTGAAATGTAAACACATGAAGGACCAAAACCAAAATTACAGGTAAAGATAATATCAACCTCTAATGTGAAGCATACATGTACTAATGTGTATGTATATAAATAGAAAAATTGTAACAAAATATACAATTGTTTATAGACAATGTCGTAGTAATTCTGTTCAATACTGGGACAATATGTGCAACAATAAATATAATTAAACACAATATTGTTTTATCAATGCACCTTAGTGTGAACTCTGTGCCAAAATTATCTTGCCTTTCCCCATGCACAGCATTGCAAAGCACTACTTGTGAGATTTGGTTGGACCTATCATTCTCCATACTGAAAATTGAGAGAACTGTGGATGCTGTAAATCAGAAACAAAAACAGAAATTGCTAGAAAAGCAGAACAAGTCCAGCAGCATCTGTGGAGAGAAATCGTAGTTAATGTTGTGGGTCAAGTTTCGGGTCATTTGATCCAAAATGTTAACTCTGATTCCTCTCCACAGATGCTGCCAGACCTGCTGAGCTTTTCCAGTAATTTCTGTATTTGATCCTCCAGAGTGATATTGACTCAGAAGCCAGTTGGATAGACCTGCAAATAGGCCTCTAAAGCACATGAGCTCAAAATGGATAGATGTTAGAGGAGCAGGAAGCAAAGTAGTTGATTTCTCCTGGGTCTGTTTAAATAAATTGACTCAAGACTCAATATTTCTTTTTCCCCAACTGTTAGCAGTCTAATTACTTGACATAATGCAAGCTGGCATGCAGAGAGTGTCTGTCTTGTTTTCAGATTGCATCTCTATGTCATCGTTTTTAATGACAATTTCTAACATACAAGGTGAGATGACAGCTGAGAATATATTATTAAAATTTGGGAACTTGGATTCTAAAGTAGAAGTTTTTTTTCAGATTTCAGTTCTGTGAAGGTGACTTTCTTTCAGGGTCAGAAACTCATTTATTTAGCCGAGAATCAAAATATCATTTGACTTAAGCTAAATGACTAGTCAAGTCACCTGGTGAGATAATTGCTGAAGTGTTTAATAACATGAACTGTAATGACCTAAAGTAAAAGAAAGAGGGTCCAGAGGACAGAAGCAGGTTCAATTCTGAAGAAAAGCTCCATCCCAACATATGTGCTTTTTAGCAGCCTCAAAGCAGTCAGAGTGACTGGAAAAAGCTTTCCCTTAGGTTTCAGTGAGAAAAGTCAATCAGCCTGTATTTGTATGTCTCAGTAAGTAACAGAGAGAATCACACCTGAGGAATGTGCAGAAATTAACTAAAATATTCATGACCTTGTCGGTTGACTAAGAAATTATATAGTGAAGATTGGATGAGTACTGCAATGGCAGGTGAGTCACTATAAAGGATATTGCTGGGGAAGGAGAGGTTGAATTTTTTTTGCTGTTTATGGTCAAATCTGTCCATACTTTCTTTTATTTATAACCTTATGACCTTTGTTAAATGTACATTGGCACTGTCTTGTGAATATGGTCAATGACTGGTCACCACCGTAACCAAATTACAAAAAATAAAACCTTTCAATTACCAAGCTAGGTTTTACTCTAGAATCTTATATCTCCAGCATTGCTATCAGCTGGAATCATAACAAAGGTGAATATTGTTCCGAAAAATCTGAGTTTGTACTGGGAGATTTCATGAGGCTGACATGTCCTCTGACAAGGACTCACCAGTTTCTGCATTGTATCTTGAATTGAGACTATGCTGAGGATAAAATAACAAGATCTTCTAACTAAGCAGCAGCATAATGGCTTTTGGTCTTACACTGCTACCTAAGATCTCAACATCTCGTCCTGCTGCTCATTCTTTGCTGCTGAATAAGTTAGAACTGTAGGTTGGATGTAGTGAAGCTGGGTGACTCATCAATAGATCCATACTAACAAGGAACAAGAGTAGGCCATTCAGCCCTTTGAGCCTGCTGCACCATTCAGTAAGACTATGGGATTGGACCTCAACTCTATATTCCTGCATACTCTTGATAATCATTCATCGATGAAGGACATTGTTCAAATAATGACTTTATTCAACTTTATTTTGCGAAGAGTGCTTTCGCTTTTCTTCTCCCAAGTAAAAGAGCTCGCAATGATACAGCCTTCTACCACCTCAGTATGCTTGTAAAGCTCTTGAATGCCAATCCTCTTGAGGAAATGTAATCATAATTTTAATGTACAAAAGAAGATTTTTAAAAATGAGCATCTAAATGTTGTGTTAAGCCCAGTCATCTTGGAATGGGATGGTCAGTGCAGAGGTCATGTTAATGATGTTTTCTCAACTTGACCATTTTAACTCGGATGAATCTAGGCAACGAGAGATGGGCAATAAGTGCTGGCTCAGCCAGCATCATCCACATCCCACAATTAATTTTTTTAAATATCCAAAATAGTATCTCTTTTAGAGAGGGGATGGCCACAGAGGTCTCCTGTACAGACAGCGCCTGGGTTGCGAATGGTTTGAAGTCAATTTGTATACAAGTTGGAACATAATACAAGTGTCTGTATGAACAGGAAATGTTTATAGTTGGATATTTAAAATTACATTCCTGTACAGGATTGTACTGATAAGTATGAACATTGGTAAGTCGGATGTTTGTAGTACCTACCTTCCTCTACACTGCCTCATCCCCTTTCTGCCTGTTCAGTCTTTGTGAGGTGGTCACACCGCGGGTGATGTGCTGTTCACAACAATCGCAGCCCCACAGTGAGTCCAGCTTCTGTTCCAGCTCTGAAATGCAGTCAGCTAGTAGCTGCAGCTGGGACACCCTTCCTGCACCCACAGTCCTCACAAACACATGATTGTCCATAACCTCCCATATAACACAGGAGGAGCACAGGACAGGTGTGAGCATTGCTGCCACAAATATTGGATGTTGTCCATTATTACAAGCCAAATTGATAAATTAACATAACGCCAAATAGAATTTGTTTAGTTGTTGACTGGGCCATACCTCAATGTGCCTACTGTATGAGTACCAAATTGCCTCACTTTATTCCTTTCTGGGTTATTGGGTCCAAAATAGTGGCCTGAATCAGAACAATTACTAAAGCATGCACCAAGAATAGAACTTGGTGTTAAATGCTAAACTGTCATAATATAGTATGTGGAACATAGTTATTAAAGTGTTCTCATGTGTATGAAATTAGATTCCAGTCTTTTTTGCTAATTCTCCCAGCTTGCCAATAATGGAGTTCCAGCATGGACATGACCTCTATCACAAAAGAAAAAAATAGGTGAATTACTTTGTTAACCACTTTCACAAGTACATGAAATGTGTTAAATTTTCTGTATTTGAACTAATTTCCTGTTACTAATAACCAATACCAACGGAATTATGAAGTGCACTACTAGCATTGATGATGTAATAACTTTAACCTTCAAGCCTTTATACGCTCACCTTACTTCGGTGCAAGCCCCAGTCTTGTACCCAGTGCTTTAATTGAGTTACTGTACCTTCTTGCAGTAAGTTAAGAATGTTACTAATCAAAGATGCAAATTATTGAAGTATGTTTGATTCAGAAATTAAAAATGCAATGTGCTGCAAGTTGTAGCATCAGTGTAAAAACATGCTGTGTCTGCAAAATATACATTTAAATCATAAGCAATACATATTTTACAAAATAAACAAAACAAGATCTTTTAAATCAGTGTCATCTACCAGAGGCACTCCATGTATGAAGCAACTTCAGTTTACCATCTACATTCTTGATATTCCTATCATTTTACTATTGTTTGTTGATTTTAACACTGAAATTAAAAGCAGTCAGTATTATTTTCTGCACCATTGTAATTCATTACTTTTTTTAATATTATATGCAAGGTAATTGTTAACCTTATTTTCCTATGACGATGTTGTAGGCTTTTGAAGAACCTGGCACACACCTTTAGCTGTTACAACATACATCATATCTGTGCATTCTTTGGTAGATCTAACCAGAACCTCTAAATATTTATACCTTTGTTGAGGATACTATTGTATGAGGCTAACCAAGAATCATTCACAACTAAATGCATGGTATTTTCTTCACTACAATAATTAAAATGTAAATAGTGTCTTTTATGCATACTATTTGTTTCCTGCCATTAATTCTGGTTTTTACACCAATTTTGTGGCAAGTCAAAAGCATGAAATTTAGTAAAACTGTTACTACAAAGTTGCCTAAGTATTCTCCCAAGCAACCACTTCAAATTTAGCAATAATTTCAGCACAGATCATGGATTAAACATACCAACAGAGTTTCCACCTAACTTCCAACAAAAGTTTGACTCTTACTATCATATAGCTATTTTCTCTCCTAGAACAATATTTCGTCTAGACATCCCAGATGTCTTCATTTTTCAAGGACCGCAATTTCCCCTCCACAGCGGTCAAAAACACCCTTGACCACATCTCTCGCGTTTCCCGCAACTCATCCCTCACACCCCCTCCCTGCAATAACAACAAAGACAGAATTCCCCTCATCATCACATGTCACTCCACCAACCTCTGGATTCAACGCATCATCCTCCGCCACTTCCGCCACCTGCAATCTGACCCCACTACCAAGGACATTTTCCCTCCCCACCCTCATCTGCCTTCCGGAGGGACCGCTCTCTCCGTGACTCCCTTGTCCGCTCCACACTCCCCTTCAGCTCTACCACACCCGGCACTTTTCCCTGCAATCGCATGAAGTGCTACACCTGCCCCTACACCTCCCGCCTCACCCCCATCCCAGGCCCCAAGAAAACCTCCCACATTAAACAGATGTTCACCTGCACATCTGCTAATGTGGTATATTGTATCCGCTGTTCCCGATGTGGCTTCCTGTACAAGCGGAGGCTTGGAGACCGCTTTGTGGAGCACCTACGCTTGGTTCGTGACAAATGACTGCACCTCCCAGTCGCAAACCACTTCAACTCCCCCTCCCACTCCTTGGACGACATGTCCATCCTGGGCCTCCTCCAGTGCCACAACAATGCCACCCGAAGGCTGGAGGAACAGCACCTCATATTCCACCTGGGAACCCTGCAGCCCAATGGCATCAATGTGGACTTCACAAGCTTCAAAATCTCCCCATCCCCGATCTCATCCCAAGACCAGCCCAGCTCGTCCCCGCCTCCTTGACCTGTCCATCTTTTCTCCCACCTATCCGCTCCTCCCACTTCACTGACCAACCCCCACCCCCACTTCCTACCTACTATCCTCATCCCCGCCTC